ACTGTTTCACATATTTTTTTATTGCGAAAATATTGTTGCGTGTTTTAAAAAAGTTGAATTTTTTATAACTACAGTTGGTAGATCACGATGTTGTTCAATTATTAGTATATGTCTGCAAACATGCAAGACATAAAGAGTTGGTTGAGTTTTTTTGTTGTCTATAGAGAATTTAGTATGAAATACATGATTTACTATTAACCATAATGGTATAAGGTCATCTTATATCAATATATCTCGTGAAGATATTTTAATTGGAATAGAGGCAAGCTCAAGATATTCGACATAAGAGGCTAAATGAGGATATCCCACATAACCCTAATATGGCTCCAAATTTTATTCAGGAATTGTCTTAATGGTTATGCAATACAGATGATTATATTTTTATAACATAAAATGAAGTATATTTTAGAACTATTATATGAAATTCAGACAGATATGTGATATCAATTTTTACAAGTAGGTTATCAGATTATTGATTTATTTTTATTATAGAGTTGTTAAGTTGTCGCAGGTCTCTGCGTTTTATTTTTTACAAAATTTCGGGTTCTTATGCAGTTGTAATGGATGCTCTCGTAGTTTACAAGACGCTGATTGCCTATGTCGAAGATGACCCATTTTTTAGCTAAGTCATCGTGTGATCATCCTCGATTCTATGTTCGGGAGTCTATCCCGGTGATGCTCTTACTTTGCTTAATGCTTAATTTATGTGGTATGTTTAAAAAACAAAAAAGAGTAAATATTAAAGTTAAATAGGCGCGTGGTCTAAGTCTGTGTTCTCGTCTAGTCAACTAAGTGAATTGGTATAACCAGCAGTTATAAACAACGCTTTGGACAAATAAACCACGGTTTTCTCGGGCCAGGTGGGTTTGACTGAAACTAGCCGAAAACCAACGCCTTGGAAAATAAACCCATTTCCCACTTCCCTCATTTAACCACACAGCCTCCACGACCCTTCCTTTTTCTCTTTCTCTTCTGTAACGCCTGCCCCAACTCTCTGAGTCACCGACTCACCATGGATAAACCTTGATTTTACAGACACAAAATACAAAAACAGTGAAGGAGACAGTCACCAGTTCTCTGCCCCTTTCATATACTAACTCCAAACCTTTTCTTTCAAGTACACATCCTGTCCTCTTCTTCTTCTTCTTCTTCCTTTTTTCTTATTTTTTTAAAGGTTTGCCTTTATGGGGGATGGTACTGGTGGGTTCGCAGGAGAGACAGGAAGAGGGTCTACACCTGCAACGAGTTTCTCTCAGCTGCTCTTCGCTGATGACGAAGAGGACGATCGTGTCGTGGTGGGTCTTGATTTAGACCAGCAAGGCTTTCACTACGCTGTCTCCTCTTCTGAAAACCCGCCCAAAATGCTCTGTTTTGGAGCGTATCAGAGTCGAAGTGAAATATTGTTTGGCGCTGAAGGTACCATGCAGAAATCTGGTGTGTCTTGCAGTGATTCTTCTTCGGCTTCCTCTGGCAACAACAGCACTATAACTACCCTCTCATATTCTAATGTAAGTTTTCTTCGTTGTCGTATCTGCTAAACCTTTTCAGTTCTGGGTTTTGATCAATCTGCGAGAACCGTAAAATGGTATTGATTCGTTCTTTTGTAGAAAAAGAGAAATGTGTCCGGGTCGGGGTCGGGGCAGGAGCTGGCACAGTGCCCGAGTGCCGCCATAACTACGACGACTACTGCTCCAGTTGCTGGTCAGAGAACAACGAATAAGAAAACTAGAACGGAGAATCCCGCATCGGTTAGAAATACGAAGGTTTATCCCTCATTTCCAGTATTATACTCTGCATGTCTCCGATTAGAAAAAACCACGATGTTCTAATTTTCTTTTTAGAATGTAGTAGATGAGGAAGGAGAAGCTGGGAGAAAGAATTACGGCCTTGCAGCAACTCGTCTCACCCTTTGGCAAGGTATTAATTGCGCATTCTACAACTAATTAGAAAGTTTCTTTTATTTTTATGGGATTAAGACATAAAAAATGATGTTTTGGGAATTTGAATTTTTCCAGACGGATGCAGCCTCTGTGCTGCATGAAGCAATGGGATACATCAGGTTCCTGCATGACCAGGTTCATGTCCTTTGCTCTCCTTACCTGCAACACCTGCCTGTAAGTCGCAGCCAACAGTTCTCTTCTTTTTCAACATGCATGTATGTATACATGTACATACATATATACATATATATTCTTATATTCAATAAAGTTCGTAATGAAAATTATGCCGAATGATGCTTATTTGTTTATTGATATTAATTAGAGCCGTAATCTAACGGGAAAGAAACAGTAATTTGACCAGACTTTCGAAGAGAATGAACTAACGACAGTCAAGCTTGAAATTTTACAGAGTAATGGAGTTTTTTTTTTTTTTTTTGTCCCCCTCATTTTACTGGTTGACAGGATGACGGAGAAATCGGAGAAGAAGAATCGAAAATGAAGGACTTGAGGAGCAGGGGGCTGTGTCTTGTCCCGATGGCGTGCACCGTACACGTGGCAGAAACTAACGGTGCTGATTTATGGTCGCCTACGATGGGACATAATGTGCCGTCATCAACGACGAAGCAGCAGGGGAGAACTGTTTGAACTTCCAAGTTTTCAATCTTTTTTTGTACATGCTCGAATGGGTAAAATTATGAAAGGAGTAAAAATGAAGCGGTGTGGAAATAGTAAAAAAAAAAAAAAAAAAATTACTCTAAGTTTCTTACGGTAATTCCCTTTTGTTTTTTTCTCCTATTTTGGCATAAAATGAAACTAGTTGTTTATTAGCCTTAGACGCATTATTTTACATATAAGATAGTTTCTTTATTATAAATATACATAGTATGGTTTTTTTTTTTGAATTTATTGAAAAATATTATAAGCTCGTCCACCATAATTTATAAAGGAAATTTGAGGGCATTATTCCTATAGATTGAAAAAAAATTAATTTTAAATTATGTTTTATAGTATATTAAAAATTAAGATGTATGTATACATTCTCATGAGATGGAAAGACAAAGAATAAATACATGATGTGACAAATTCAAAAATTAAAACTTATGCTAAAAATTATAATGAACATAAAAATCTATGAGAATTAATAAACATTTAATTAATATGTTTATGCTAATTAATATTTGCATATTTAGAAGAATACTGAATTGTAAAATAAACTTTATAAAATATTATTATTTACTAGTTGAATGTATTTGTATAAAGTATTAGTAATATGTTGTTTGTTATGTTTTGATCGTTATAAAATATTTATTTCATTAACAAACTTAATAAATTCACTTAAAATTAGTTTAATTTAGTTATAATTATATTAATAAATTAAATTATTAATTTTATTAAATCAAATATTATAAATTAATCATTAATTTATAATATATTGATGTACATTATTTATTGCTTTTATTTGAATTGACACTTTGGAACCCGGATAACCGATTACCCGACCCGGGTTAATGTCTATATAATGAGCCCACTTTTGCGGCTGTTTCTCGAGAGAGTCTTCCTTCCTACTCTTTCTTAACAGCCAAGCGATGAGTTTCGCTTCTTCGCGCTCAGGAAATTCAGGGCAAAAATCCAAGAGGAGCTTCAATTCAAATTCTGCAAATAATGACAGTGATAGTAGTAATGGTAGCAAGAAGAAGAAAAGCAGCCAGAAAACCCTAGGCATGGCATGGGGGGCCAATTCTCTATCCTCTTCACGCTCTTCCTTTCGCAAATCTCCCTTCTCCGATTTCGGAAGGTTCTTTTTATGTATTTTTAAATTCAAATATTTATATAATTATGGTCGGTTTAATACATAGAATAAGCATAATTAGTTTCTGCATAAGCTACTGCCGTAGGATCGCGTTTTCTGATTTATTTCCACGCTCTAAATTTCTACACCCTGAAGAATTATCTGTGTTTGTTATCGTCACAATGTTTTCATTGTTTATGGTCCTTGGTATGTGTGATTGTCATTTCTGACGGTTCTTGATATGCTTGATTATAGTTACATGGGGGAAAAGATAAGAAAACTAGATAACCAGTTCGCTGCCGAGGCTTCAAATTATTCCCATCGTGGTTCCAGCTCTGAGAAACCTATATTTCATGGCGTTTCAATCTTTGTTGACGGTTTCACGATTCCTTCTAGTCAGGTGCGACGTAATTGTGTTTTATTACTTCATTTCGGTGAATGAAAAAGTCGATCCCAATTTAACATGCACAGAAGTTTGTTGGTAACCAAAGAGTGGATTATGGTTAACCGTGGTGCTTGAATTCATTGTTAGTCGTAATGATATGCTCCAGGAACTGCGAGGCTACATGTTGAAGCATGGTGGGCGGTTTGAGAATTACTTTTCCAGGCATCGAATTACTCATATCATATGCAGCAATCTTCCTGACTGTAAAATTAAGAATCTGAGGTATGAATTGAGTGTACAATTTGTCTTCGATTGGGACTGCAAATTTGATCTTTAATTGTGTTAGTTTAGTCTGACTGTATAACTGCTGACTGCAGGTCCTTCAGTGGTGGACTCCCGGTCGTGAAACCCACATGGATTTTGGATTGTGTTGCTGCAAATAAACTTTTGAATTGTAGGTTTGTATGTTTAATCTCTGCTGCTGGAATTACCTTGATAAATTATTACTTTTGTTTGCTTCTCTCAGGGGTTGCCTACCAGCTCGATCAACTTCCTGATAACCAACCAAAGTTGTCTGCGTTTTTTGCTCCAAGGAGCATCCCAGTCTCTATGGATAGGGGTGCTTTGATGGACACTATATATCAAGAAAAACTTGAAAATATGGATCCATCTAAACATGCGGGCACATCAGAGTGCACAAATTCATCTGAAGTGGGAATATCAATGAAACAGATCTCTGTTCCTGAAGACACTGACGCAACTATGATTGAGGAATCAAGAAGTACTAATACAGAATATGATGGAGTAAAAGTGGAGGAACCAAGTTATGTTGAAGTAGAGGAACAAACGGATGTGAAAACTGAATTGCAATCATGTGTCCAACAACCTTCTTCTCTTGACAGATATTACTCTCATAATCAAAATAAAGAAGGGTCATCAATTTCAATGGTTGCTGGGCCGTCTAACAAGTGCCATTCAATTCTTGGAGATCCTAATTTTGTTGAAAATTATTTTAAGGTACAAAAGTGAGAAGATATGTCTTCTTTTTTTCTGTTGGTTCCAGAATGTCGTTGCTTCTTATATTGTTGTGCTTTTGCTACAAATTTTCCTTCCCAAGAGAAATGCATAATTGAGAAGTTAGGCACTTGGTAGTAACTTCGTTTTAGATTTTTGGATTGTCATGATGTGACTTTGATTTGGAGGATTTGGTGGACCTTATTGATACTTTGATTGACTTATAAATTTATACATGAGCAACACCCCCTTAGTGCCTATATTATTGTATTTTTTACACTTTATATTTAAAAGAAATGATGTAACTTTGACTTAATTACCACTGTGCTTGGCTCTATCGACCTATTGGGCATTTGCAATAGTGGTTAAGCATGTTAGTAAATTTTTGCTAAATTTTTGCCGGTGAGGGTACTCATATGCATGGACTTCCACAATCTGCACAACCATACATTTTTGTGTTTTCTGGCACCCTGTTGTTTGTGCTGACGCATGCCGAAGTGGCAAATTCTCAATGTTGTCTCTTTTGATGCCATACCATTTGCAAACCCTTTATGAGAGTAAACTTCTATACATCCATTAGTGTAAACTTCAGATGTGTATTCCTGGTATTACCTCACCGGTATTACCTCACTGTAGGTTACTTAACTGATTTTGTTTGATTTTTAGTGCCAAATAATTAGTCACATTATGTATTGCTCATGCTTTATGCATTTATTCCAGGTATTACCTCACTTTCGGTTACTTAACTGATTTGTTTGATTTTTAGTGCCAAATAGTCACATTATATTGATAGTTCTTGTTACTTGCATTTACATCAATCAATTAGTTCACATTTACATCAAATTTTGCAGAATTCAAGGCTGCACTTCATAGGAACCTGGAGAAGCCGTTATTGTAAACGTTACCCCATTTCGTCAAGTGGGTTTAAGTCTACGAGCTCTCACCAAGGTGGTTCTGATGCTCGTAAGGCTACTATTATCCATATTGACATGGTAGTTTACATATCCTGGCTGTTAATGGTGCCTGCTAAATTTCTTTTTAATATTATAGTTGTTGAACTTTTATTGTTGGATAATATGAATACAATAAAATAGCAATCTCCTTGTTGGTTTACATGGCTATACACTTCTCTCCTCTTGTTTGTGTTTTTAGTTAATCTGTTGCTTCAGGACTGCTTCTTTGCCTCAGTGGCTATCAAGAATCGTCCTGAATTACAGGACAGGCCAGTAGCTGTTTGTCATTCAGATAATCCGAAAGGAACTGCAGAAATTTCTTCTGCAAACTATCCTGCTCGAGCTTATGGTAAGTAATGTGCTGCATCCCTGCTCTTGCAGTGCTTATGGTTTAGCATTTGTATTGAAGTATTAGAGTTTCTCTTCTTTTTTACTGATAACTACTCCTGTATGTTAGGAATTTCGGCAGGAATGTTTGTTAGAGATGCCAAAGCTCTTTGTCCCCACCTTGTCATTTTGCCATATAATTTTGAAGCTTATGAGGAGGCAAGGTTATCCAGATCGGTGTATTTTCTTTTTGTTAATGGATTTTTCTCTAAGAGCATAATCTGGTCTTCTTTGCAGGTGGCTGATCAGTTCTATGATATCTTGCATAAGCACTGTAGCAAAGTTCAGGTTTCCTTCTTGTGACATGTTAAGTACCTATGTAATTTTTTTTTCTTTTATGTTACTTTTAATGTTGCTGCGTTCATTGAATATAGGCAGTAAGCTGTGATGAAGCATTTTTAGATGTAACAGACTTAGAAAGCGAAGATCCTGAGCTT